AAGTAGGTACTTAAATCCATGACAAATTAGATAGGTAGGTATCATCACAGTTTTTTAATACACATCCCCTGTTTAAATATTTCCTCACTTTGCCTTTATTGTAGTTCCCGCTTCTTATTGGCTGATATTATTATTGTTGTGTAAATACAAAATGTTCTCAATTCATTGAATATCCACAGAATAATCAAAATAAAAAAATTATCATTTTTTATCTAAAAAATGTTATCATCATAATTCGTAAATTGCTACCTACCTAATTTATTCTGTGTACCTACTTAACTATTAACTAATTAACCTAATCAACGAAAAATAGATCCTATGTCTTCATATACTAATAAACTGTTTAAATATAATCAATTTAAAAATTATTTGTTAACAATAATATACGTTATTCTTATGATTATGTGTTTTACTTAAATAAGATAACCTTGATCTCTAATATTTATATTGCACACCTCAGTCGAGTCCCCGAAACCTCGTTAATAAATACATAACTTGACCAGTAGGGAATGCAAGGTCCGCTAGCACCCGGTGAGGAGAGGACGTTACAGATATATTTCGACATGAAAAACTCCCACTCTCTTGTAGCAGGACACGTACGTCCATTACGATAGAACTGATCGAATTTTCTACAAGTAAGTGAACTTTGACTTTTACGGGAGATGTCGGCTGGTATTTTTCTTGATTTTAGTTTCTAGTAGACTCATTTTTTTTTTAGTTTAAATATCTCATTTATACCAAATTTCAATTGAAATTTCTTTTTTTTTTTTATACAGCATGCGTATGCAAGTTTTTATAAGATTTTAATGTTTCAGTAATATAAAATTAATGATCACATTTTACTACACTGTTGTTTACATTCAATTTGAATATTATAAAGATATAGACCATTACTATATTATAAACTATCAGTTGCCATATTTACACATAATTTACCATAGGATAAGATGAAATATTAATTCATTTTATCATTACTATGAATACGAATTGAACATTTAAAAATCGATGATTTATTACTTCTCAAAAACTAAACAAAGTTAGATTTGGGGAATTTAAAATTATAAATATAACCATAAATATATTATGTAAATATAAATGTATATATCAATAGTATCTAAATTAAAAAAAAAAAACTTATAGGTACGTAAAAACTATCAAAATTATTAAATTAATATTGAAAAAAATATTTTATACATTGTTTAATATTATACACACTTACGTATGTATTATAATGTTTATGTCACTTAAAACAATTATTAATTGCAGATTAATGTTAAATCATGTATCTAGAATATTGGATTACATTTGGTTACAAAGTGGTTATAAAATTTTGTGAAAATTTCGAATCAATCGAATCATTTTGAAGAGTACCGGGGTGCTTTATTGACGTTATAAAAACACCCAGAATTAAAGTTTGGAATTCTGAACTTCCTTGTAAGTTACAAAAAAGTTATTGTGGTTACATTTCGTTACATAGTGATTAAATAATTTTGTGAAATTTTAGTGTAAAATTTCATAATTTGGGGTCCTGGAGTGATGGATCTCTTATCGGGCGGTGGTAAACTCTCCCGATTTTATGGTAAACTCTCTCGATTTTTAAAAATAGTAAACTCTCCCGGGTCAACTTTATAGTTACCTGTAGGAAGTATGTAAGCTCTCCCAAGTTTTTTTAAATGTTATTGCTACACTACGAGTTGGCTACATTGCAAAGATTGGACTTCAATATCATCATCAACTTCAAAAACAACAAACGCTTGTGAGTCGTTCCATTCGCATTTAAATTCATATTTCTCAACTACTCATCTATCTTTTTTATATTCATTAATGCTCTAACGGATTTTCAAACTGAAATATACGTTAAAATTCAAAGTTGCAATAAATTAAATCGAGTAAAAATATTTATACAAACAATAAAGAAAAAAATATATCCCAAAAAATATTAGATTATAAAAAAAAATAAAATAGATTCCCTAATTTTTTTAAAATCTGTATGTTCTTATTATCAAAAACAATGATTTTAACATTTTTACGTATATTTTGTATTTGTAACTTATATTATTATTATTATTATTGAATATTTTTAAAAGAAACTTAAATGTATATTGGATTTTTTTAAATTTTATTTTTTATTGTATTTTGACTATAATATCATGTTCATAGCAGCTAAAGACATTAATTTATATTGTTATTATTATTATATATGATTGACTATTTTTAAACGCAACTTAAATGTATATTAAATTAATTTTATGATTTTTACTAGACCCGGGAGAGTTTACATGTTTCCGTCAGGTAGTACTGGAGTAGACCCGGGAGAGTGTACCATCGAGAGAATTTACAATCGCCCCTCTCATCACATACAACTTTGTATACTCCCGTAATTCGATCTCAAAATCGTGACTTGAAAATTTTGCCAAATCGTCTTTTAACCATTCTAATTCACATCATTAAATCTGCGGCTTATTATACCAAATCAACTTGTTCTATTAATTAAATGATAATTTTTCCAAAAGGATTTTTTTACTATCTTACATTCTAAACATAAATCTAATACTGTACAATTATTTTCTGTTTCTATAATCATATTATAAGCAGGCTCCAAATGACCGCTTGACGATAAGTAGGTCTAATACTTAACTAAATAAATAAAAACTTCTTACAATATAATATGGAATAAAATATACTCACATGATTGGAATTTCATATTAAATATAAGTATTTGTTCTCGTTTCAAATTATCGGATGAGATATTCATGCAGGAACAGTTAAACGCAAAGTGAATTAAATTCAAAATGGGCTTGGGTTAAACCCTATGATTTCTAAAGACATCACATCTACGTATAATGACCATTGTACGTCTATGTTTAATAACCATTCAAAGAGTCCTTTGAAAAATAGATACCGTCATACCATAAGGCATAAATCTTACGTTATTACTAACATCAGGTACTTGAGAATTGTTCAATTTTATTAATAAAAAAAAATATAAATTTGAACGATAATAATATTATTTTATTAAATATTTTTCAAGATATTAAGCTAAATTTCTTATCCTGTTAAATATAAATCGCGCTGAATCAAAATCAAAATATGTTAATGTAGTTATTGCAATCATTATCCAATTCATTTGTTTGTTTTCTCTTATTTGTTCAGACTCTATCACTTCAATTCTCCGAAGACCATATAATAATATTGCATCATCACATAATATTGGATATATGTCAACAGATTCTATTTTCAAAGCCCAATAATTCATAAAAGGACATCTGTATCTATAACAAAATTACTGATATTAGTAAATCTCCTCATATTATTCGAAATTTTTTTTTTTTTAATTTTTTTTTAAAGCTTATTATGATCTCATCTTCCGGAATCGATCGACCATAATGATAAACATGCATAACCATTATTCTTAATTCGATATTTATTGGTCGCAAAAGTGTTCTCACACGGCTTCTTTTAGGAAAATATTTGTAAAACGGATAGAAGCTGTATTATTTTCAGGTGACTCATCATCTCTATAAATTAAAATGAATACATAAACCGATTAATTTAACATTAAAATGTTATCACTTACTCAGGTGAAACGAATCTTGGAGGTGTTGGTAAGTGATTATCGTCACGAATACGATCCATATCTCAATTTTATAATTAAATAATCCAACACTAAACACGGATTTTAGCAATATAATTTTTTTAAATTCGGCTAGGAATGCTATTTATACTTCTTATATCCTATTATTATTTAAAGTATTGTATTTGTTTAAGTATACATTATAAGTGAATTCAATAAATGATTATAGTAATTTTCTACCTGTATTGCTTCAATGATATGTTAATGCATTGAATTTATTATGGGAGTATAGATTGGGTAGTGTTTTAAATAAATGTGAAATTTAATAATCAGTAATATAAAATAGAACAGATTACTTATACGATGTGGGAACCTATCCTTGTTCCAAGGTGAAAAGAAATATAATCCTGGAACATAATGTGTTGGAAATTGCAAACCTGAGAAAAAGTCTAATGAAGATGAAGACGATGTAATAAATATTACATCAATTGAAATTACGGACAACGAATTCAAGGGCCATAGTTTTTGGTTTGTGTTGTAAGCATGATGGCGTTTTTAAGAGACTTTTTTTTAAGTTGAAAAGCATGATTGAAATACCTACCTTACTAAATAAATTTGAAAATGATACTATAACTATATATTATTCCGATAAATGACGTGCGTATTTTACTATTTAAATATTTTAAATTAACATGATGCGAGTTTATCCATAAAATCGTTAATCATTCAGAAAATTTTACTGGCTCAATTAACTGGTTTTAAAACACGAGCTATAGAAACTCTTTGGAAACACGTCAAAAATAAATACAATATCAAAAAACACGCGGAGCGACTTACTTAGGTATTACTAGGGCCCGGATTTATATGCATTTACATGTTTTTTTCTGAATAGTCCAAAAAATAGCTAGGTAAGCTACAAGTTTGATTTGAAATCAATAGATCCTAAATATAATATGATTTTATAATTATTTTGTATATTTTTGCATATTTCTGTTTTTTACGATTTTTCATTGCATATAGTATACGATTTTTAAATGCATAATATTTAATATTTTGCTTATTTTAATTAAAATAACGTTATATTTATAAAGCATGTAATTTGACAAAGTCGTTTTGTTATCTTATCTGAGACTTATTGGGACAAGTAGTTATCTTTTATTGAGTAAATTTTAGTGAATCATACATTCGTTGTGTTTGTCGTGACCCATGTGTTTCATTCGATTTTATTTATTTATACTTAATAAAAATAAAAGAAATTTTTTCAACCGATTTTTTATATATTTTTGCATATTTAATGTGCATATTTGAATGATAATCAGTGAATAAACGTATGCATATTTTGTACGTTTTTAATGTATATAATTCCGGGCCCATATTACTAACCCAACTTCAAGAGGAGTGATGGCAATGGTTGAAAAAAAAAACCGAATACCTGTTCAATTCTTAGAAACGGTCAGAAGTTCGTGTAGACAACTACACAGTACATCATGAAAAAAAGTGATCAAGTAGAAAAACTGCATTATTAAGGTAAGAAAATTTTCATTTTTGGATAGTAAATACGTGTTCATATCATACTTATCCAACATCAAATGACGGTAGATAAAATATTTGACGAGTACCAAATTTTATTTGTAAAAAATACAGCATTTATTATTACTGACAAATGGTTTACCACTTGAAAATGATTCCGTTATCCTCTCATATAGATGGGACGTTGACGCTCCTCGGTTACTAGATTTCGACGTTTATAAGATTAAATATATTTTTTTATGTTTCTATCGACATTGAAACATTTAAAACACGTTCTACGTATTTCATTAACTTTTATTTTAAATACGTCATTTGAATTCTTGTAAATCATGAATTTTTGCTGGTCCCTTTAATTTTAATTTTTAAATTTGACTTTATTGCAAAAATCAATTATAAAAAAAAAAAAATATATAAGAATGCTAAATTTAAGTATTTTTGTGAAACTGTTAACACATAAATTAAATATTCTTCACTGTCTAATTCAAAACGTCATTGCATTTCGTTTCAGTTCCAGTTTCTAAAATAAGTAATAACTATGAGAAAGAAGTGACTAGTGTAGCACCGAATAGCAAACATATTGTTTTTTCTTTTAATACAAATATTATATTATAATATTTGTATAATATTTAATATAATATAATATTTATCTTTTATATCTACAAATATATATTATTTAGGAAAATCGAATTATTCGAATTCATCACACGCCTTAGGATTGCGAGCTAACAAAGTTTAAGTGGTAAGTATAGTTAAAAGTTATTATATTACATTTAATATCTTAATACGTATTAAATTTAATAAATTTATATTAATAATGATGATGATAATAATAATAATAATAATAATATGTTATTTAATAATTTAAAAAAATTAATTTTTATAAATTTTTGATGAAAATGTGCATACTAATTTGATAATATATGCAGGTTATGTTATTTGACTATATTTTCATATTTATCTATTATGTCTCTTATGAAATTTCTTTTGTCTATTGCCCCTTGTAATTTTTTTTTTTTTTTTTGTATTAATAATTAACTAAACTCGTACTATACCATTACATCAATATATTATAAAACATGTTAAATAAAAAATTGTGATATCAAAATTATTTTATTCTAAACGTTGCAGCACTTAATTCGGACGCACTAAATACGGTAAGGTATGGTAGGTAAAGTAACCTAACCTGTTTCTTGAGTAACATTAGATAAATTATTTAAATACATAATACAATATAAGAATATATAGTTAGCTATGCTTAGCCAATAATTTGATTACTTTAAAAATCATACATTTATACATTTTTATTACTGTATTAATTATTACCATATATTTTATGAATTAATGAATTATTTATCGAATATTTGTACTATTCCCATCACTAAAGTTTAAAATAATTATTTTACGTAGGTACCTTCCTTAATAAATTAGGTAGAGATATATAGGGCAGATATTTTCAATACAAACCTGTTTTTCTTGCATACAAGCCATTATTACTTATAAGTTAAAATTTGCACAATCATTTAAATCATTTAAGATTTATTAATAAACACTAATGTTTTAAACTAAACTAATGCATATGGTGTAATAAAAATATTTTTCTAAATTATATTTTATAATCTGAATGAAGCGATAATTGTATCGATTTTACAATGATGTGTGCTTTTTCGAGTATGTACACAATAAGTAGTCAACAAAATACTTTGACTTTTAACTTCGAGAGCTTAAAATTAGACTTAGTTTGTACTTTAAAAAGGTTAAAATTAATAATTCCCAATATTTTTTTTCTAATCAGGAAAAACAAACAAAAAATTAAGGAAATACTGAAATGTTTACGATGAATCAGTTTTTGATTAAATTTATATCTTTATTTTATTATATTTTATAATTTATCTATGTTTAGATAATTTTGAGTTTAGATATCTTATCTATAAATTTAAATTCTATGATGTAGTAAAATCTATCTCAGCACATTACTGAAAACGGTCCTTACATTTTTGATATGTTGCTTTATCGTTAATTTATTGAAACATATCATAGGTCATTAATAATCAGAAATGTGAGTTTATATTAAACAGTAGGTAGTATCAAACTGTATTATACAAGGTATTAAACACATGATATAAAATTATTTTATACTGACGGTATTAAAATAAAATTAAGACTTCATTTTTAGTTATCATAAATAATATTTTTTTTATTTAATATTATCATTTATAATTGTAACATACATATTTAGCATTCATGTGTTAGAAATGACTTAAATCAATTGTACTATTATAATATCATAAATATTGATATATATATATATATATATTTATTTATTTATTTATTGGCAAATAATAAATTAGCTCAAATTCTAATTTATTTTGAATGATATTTAGAAAATGTATTTAATAATTTAATAATATAATTTAGTATGAAATATGAATTGTAATAAAAACATTTTAAATTTAAATCATTTCTAGTGATTAAGTTTATGAAATTATGATACATTTTAAATCATAATAATTGGTAGCATGAGTGCATGACTAAATATTAATAATTGGTGAATTTGGTCTAAAATAATTATTGTATCGTGTATTTTTTTTTTTAATATTTTTGATCTTTTAGCCATTTTTCAATTAATTAATTTTAAAATGATTCATATGTTATATAACCTATGTTGAATTTCCGATAATTTAAGGCTCTACAAAGTTCTATATTATATAATACTGGTATAATATCGGTACATTACGGTAATATAAAAAAAAAAATTTAAAAAAAACCATTTTTTAACATCTCTACTAACAATAATAAAAATTATGTTTTATCATTTTTATTAGACATCAGAAAAATTTAGCTTACCTAATTAAAATAATTTATTAAGTAAAAATAAGGGATTCCCAATAAATTATTAAATATAAATTTACATCTTTAAGATAAATTATAAAGGAAGAATGACATAGTTTATAAATTTCTTAGACCATCTAAACTCAATGATTTTTTTTTTTAAACATTTTGAGTATAAATTCTTAAATGTTGGTTGCTTATCTGCCACACAAATGGTCAAAGACTTTAAATAGTGATTAAATAATAATAATCACGCTGTATATATATGTGTTATAACGAAAATGACTGCATCTATCAGTAGTATTAATTGGCAGTTAATATTTAACACTCGTTCAATACACAAGAACTATAATACCGGCACGCAAATAAATTGTATGTATTTTAAATATGTTTTAATATAATTAATGTATTGTTTTCCAAAATGTTTATAGCATAATATTTATCAAAATATTACAGCAACGTTAACAGAATAATTTTGGAGAATATCATTCATTTGTATTAAAATGACTGACAGTACTAAGTTATATAAAAAGTTCTATATACTATTTCAGGTAATATATTTGGATACATTTTTTTTTTATAAATGGTATTAGTTATTATATGCTTAAATTTAAGGTTATTGGATTAGCACTCATATATTTTGTATACTATTGGATTGTTGTATATCGGGGAGGATTTAGTTTTACGGTACCAAAAATAATATTCAATTGGCACCCATTATTGATGACAATTGCATTCATATATTTATTTGCAAATGGTAAGTTTCAACAAAATTTAAAAAACGTAATTATTTAAAATGGTTTGTATCAAAATTAAATTGATATCTTTAGTAAAATAATTATATTAGTTATTTAGTACATTCATAATTATATGGTATACAGTTCTAAAATACTGTATGAGTATACGCGAGATATGATACGGATTAGAAATGGAAGAAACAATTTTTTTTTAAGCACATAAATAGTGAAAATATTCCAAAATTCTGTACAATAAATAAATTTAATCAAAACCTCTCTAAATGTAAATATTAAAATTTTATTTTATTTAAAAAAATCAGGCAATTCTTGTCCTAAATATATCAACAAAAATGCTTTTTTTTAAATTTTACTCATTTTCTTAGAATATACGAGAACAAATTTCGACATTAGTATCGTAAATTCAATCATTATAAGTAAAGCGCGGATTTCTATACAATTGCATATTTTTTTCCCTGTTACTTTTTTGTATTTTTGTTAGTTATCTTCACGAATTATAACAATTTGAATTAAATGGTGAATTTTTTTTTTCATATTTAATGATTATTGCATGTTTTTGCATATTTCTAGAAAATTTGAAATATATTGAATATTAAAGCAAAAATTTTTAAAAAAATTGTGTAAAATAACATTTTGTCAAGTAGAAACGTTAAAAATAATTTTGTTGGCATTAAATTATAACCATAGCATGGATTTATATGCAATTTATTTTATTTTATTTTTCATATTTTTAGATTTTTTTCATATTTTATCTTCCTTCATGAATCATAAAAATTTGAATCTTATGGTGAAATTTTATTTGTACATTTCTATATATTTTTACAAAATTCAAAATATATTGTATATTAAAACGAAAAATGTTTATATACTTAGTTTATTTAAGTAATTAATTATTATAAGTTGTTTAATTTGTAAATTTTATATAGATAAAAAAAACTTTCTTGCATATTTGTTGTATATTTTTATGATTTTTACTGCATATTTCGATACTTTTTAGTGCATAAAAATCCGTGCTTTAATTATAAGAGTATCATAGCACTCTAATTATTAGCAACAAAACCGTTTCAAAATTCACATTTCAGAGATATCTGATAAAACGTACAAAATGTTTCTATGTGTATGTTGCGAGGGGGGGAGGTAATTTATGTCTTTACAATAATTATGCTAACTTATTAACAATGTATAATTTAATTTATGAAACAATATTAACTAAAATAATAAAATTAAAGAAAGTTCACGAATTTTGAATAAACAAAATAAGTATAAATAGTGTAAAAAATATTCTATATTTTTAATTTAAAATGTTCAAACTATCTTTATCTTACGACTATATCTAAATTTTATTTTTATTATTTATTGAATTTTAGCTATTCTTCATTATCGTACATTTCCAAACAATAAAAAACAAAATTTAAAAAACCAACATGCATTTATTCATGGCTGTATCATAATACTTATCGTAATTGCTAGTTTTGCTGCTTTTGTTTCACACCAATATGCTGTACCTAAAATTCCGCATTTGTATTCTTTACATAGTTGGTTGGGAGTTATCACTATTGTGATGTTCTTATCACAGGTAAGTCTATCCAATATATATATATGTATGTATAATTTATAATATAAATGTCATTGAATTGTTTTAATTATATATTTTTGATGATACTCTGTAGTTTATAAGTGGACTTTGGTGTTTCTTATACCCTGGAGTCGCTGCCCAACATAGAGAAACTTTGGCTCCTTATCACGTGTTCTTTGGCATTTCCATTTTCACTTTAGCAGTTGCAACTTCTGTACTAGGATTCACTGAAAAAATTATTTTTGCTCTGTATGTATTATTTATTTTTAACACAATTAAACGTTTACTACAAATTCAGTGTTTTCACAGGGATGATAAATACAAACTTTTGCCGTTAGATGCTGTGCTTGGAAATATTTTAGGCATTGTTTGTGTATTGTACTGTATACTAGTAGTTTATATGATTACCAAACCAGAATTCAAGAGGTCCCCTAAACTAGAATACGAAACTTTAATTAAATAAACATTTAAAATATATAATGTAAGTTTTAAGGTTTTGTGTTTGTAACTCAAGAAAAGATGTTGACTGAACTAATAAATTAAAGAAAAAAAATATTTTTTGAAATTATTCGGTTTTTATTATTTTGATACTTAAGAACCAAGAAAAATGCATGTGCATATTGAAATTGTTTGATATTTTAAATTAAATTTGTTCATTAACAAATATTTATTTTGATATGTACCTATAATTAGTTGAAAAAATGTGTCATTAGTAATCACTAATTAGATACTAATTATTTTATAATTTATGCATCAGTAACGTTTATATTGTACAGTTATGAGAAAATAGGGATCTGCAAACCCTATTTTCCGCACTATTTAAATAGCATACTGTATAGAGGATTAGTAAATTACATTTTAAATTAAACATCTAGCATAAAAATATTTATGTTATATAACATAGACATTGTTAACAAAGTTATATAATATATTATTTTTATTAATTTATTATTTGGACTCCTGCACTTCGACATAAATTAATATAAATGATAACGTTTAATTTCACAGTTTTACGCAACGCGTATTTTAATATATTTGATTACAAATTACTATTATTATAACTATTCTACTTAGTTACAATAGTAACTTAATTTTAGTGTGTAATCTCATTTTTCATAAATCCTAGTTATTTGTTGCCTTTTTCTAAATCTAATTTTTATACTCGAATGATATACAAAGATACACAAATTTATAAAAGAATAATATTTTATTTGTTTTCTGAAAAAAATTCAAGAAAATGTGAAAAAGTGTCGCGATCGACCTGTTAGTCACCCCTGAATTATATTATACATAATTTAATTGTTATCGAAATATATATACATATACATATAAGTGGTTGTTAAATCTTTACTTATAATAAGTTTCTGATTAGTCAAGTCTATAATAATTCTAAAAATGGCCTTTATATATATATATATAGTATTATGTGTTACCTTTTTCTTCTCTCTGACAATGTTTTCATTATTGACGTCTTGAAGGTAACTGGTATGCGTTTAAGAAATCACAACACTTATTTAATTTGATTAAACTCATTAATTTTATTATAAAACTTTTAATACATGAAATATTTTTAATTTTTATTGTTAACAATCTTCAATGCTTATGTCATCTTGTATATACGATCTGCGTAATCTTTTACTCACGCTTGTGATCGTAAAAGACATAAGGACACTAAGCGTGTGACCGGCGATGATCGGCCTTTTTATAATTAATATACTATTTGTGTGTGTGTTTTATCTATTGTTCTTATAATCTGACTATAGGTCATTTTATTATATTGTAATTAAATATTTAATTTTTATCTTACATGATTATATTAATAGATGACTTATAGCTAAAGGTTATAATTGTTTATTTTATTATACAGTAATTAAATATTTTATTTTTGTCGTATGTGATTATGTTAATAAATAACTTATAGGCTATAGCTAAAAGTCATAATTATTTATTTTATTATATGAATATTTAATTATGATTGCTTGGAAGCATATCATTACAAGTCTCTGACCTCCTTCATTCATATTGTTATTTCTAGGTTTAATAATTAGTCTAAGTACTACAGAAAATATTAGAAAATATATTATAAGTACATATTATGTATAATACCTATGTTATTTATTTATTAAAATTTGATCTTTTTTTTTCTTAGTTAGAAACTTTTAATAAATTAAATTGAAGTGTGTGAGTATCCTTTCATTAAAATTTCAAGTCATAATAATTCCATAAATAATCAGATTAAATTAATTATAGACAAATTTTTTTTACAAAATAGTTTATAATATGTAATAACAAGAAATAGAGAGATGAAATTAATATATACAAACGTTATTATTTGATAATTGAAAAAAAATGTTACAATTTGTCAAATAAAATAATTAGGTAATTATAACGCCATCTTTTAGTTTTTTTCTTTATTTCAAATTTTAAATTGAAAAAGGTCTAATAGCTCTACTATTAAAGTTTTTGTTGATTGTGGACAATATTTTTATAATTTTTTTATTGAAAACTCCGTACACAATATACTGGTTATATATATTCTTAACATTTTTAAATAATACTTAAATTAAAAACTTCTACGATGCGTTAATGCATAGATCAGGCACGTATACTGGGGGGGGGGTTCCCCCCCCCCCCCCCCCCCGGATATAATTTCTTTGAAAATTAAGTCAAATTATACACCTATTATTATAAAATATTTTTATTACTAGCTATTGGTTAGTTTTCTTTTGTTTATGTTAGTCGGGTATGAAATACAAGTTTATAATCTAGTAGTCGAATGAAGTGATAACTGATTACTGAGAATTACGCATGTGTGAGAACTGAACATGCGATATAAGCCTTTATATACCTAGAAAACTCACATTTTGTCAATAATCTTTTCTTATATCTCAATCGATGACCAAAAATTCCTATTAAATTGAAAATGTATGCATTATTAAATCAATACTGTACATTTTGGCCACATTATCTGTTACAACTGTTACTGCGAACGGTCATTCTCAACTCTTCGAAGACTTAAAACGTACTTATGAAACAATATAAGAGAAATCATACTTTTGGCACTACTAAACATATAACGAAATTTTGATTTAAATGTGGTAGAAATTATCGATAGATTTGCTAAGTTACCACGAAAATGGGATTTTATACTTTAATTTGTAATTTTTTAATGTATTATATATATATATTATTTGATTTTTTTTCTTCTATCTAGGTACTTAATAGTATAATATACTTTGGTAATTTTATGTGCATAGGTACTAATAAAATAAATGTCTGTTCTGTTCATAACATTTAAAGTTTTATTTATTATTATTATAATTGTTCTTATAAACTTACTTCTGAACAAATGACATACATAAAATTTGGATACTTAGCATAATAATTGTCATATTAAAAAATAATGAGTAACGAGGAAGAAATTGTTTTATTATGTTGCGGTAAAATTTATATTACTAAATTTTGTAAGCCCCCCTTCCCCGAAATTGTATTTTGTATACGTAACCTAACGTGCCTGGCATAGATACATGTTTTTTTGTTCTGGGGCGGACCCCTCCCCCTCCGTAAGTACACCACTGTAGTCTGTAATCATATTAAGTCTTAAGACAAACACCAATGTTTTGTTCTATTGATGGCAGACTAAAAAAATCGTTGTACAAAAAATAGTGAGAACGCAAACCCTTCCATCTACAAACGAACACGTAGTTCTACAGTGCCTGTTTTCTTGCAACCACGTCATATTTTTACTTTTCGTTACCGTTTAACATGAGATGTTCAACGTCACAATTTTCTGTTATCACTGTTATAATAGTTAATACTTGATAATATCCGTCACCCGTTAAAACGAAAAAGTGCGTACGTATTTATTTTTCATTTCTTTTTACAATGTTCGTTTAAGACTGAGCATTTTAATACACCCGCTGACGAATTGTGTTATAGAGTATTGAAAAATCGTTTGTCTGTCAAAATCCGTTACTCATGCATTCTTTACTATCTCGGGGCAATTCGGTGCTGGCGTACACGCTGAGTGTACTAGTTACTCTCACGTTCGCATGTTTCCTTTCCACCATATTGGTTGACTACCGTACCGGCACTGAGATGCAGACGCTCAAAATCGAAGTGTAAGTATATTGATGAGTGACCGACGTAGTCTCGGTTTACTTCTGTATCTTTTTGTACGATATTGATGTTAACCGATGAGTTTGTTTTCAGGAAAAACTTACCAGAGTATGGTGTATCCAAAAAGATCAATGACTTGGGTCATATAACATTCAATCTCGATGCAGATATCCTTTTTTTAAACGTACATAATATTAACATATTGGATAAATCATGTTATCCAAATCTATTGTATAGCGCTTAATATTTTTTTAAATATTTATTTTATTCCCGTTTTTATTCGATATTTTCTTTACTTCAGTTGCATAGTATAGAAATGTTTTAGTACTCAATAAACCATAATATTGTTTAAAAACTAACATAATGAACATATTCTACCATAAGTGTATTTATTGTTTACATCTATCAATTAGTTCAGTTCAAAATATAGTATTAATTTACCCATTTAATATTGACTACATATTTTATTATTTTGCATTTTCTAATTTTTTGAATATATTTTTTCTGTCTCTTATTAAAAAATGACTTGAATCCTTTAGGACCTAGAACATAGTATCGAGGTGTTGGCTTTTTTTTATTAATTGAAAATTATTAATTATATAATAAATATATTAAGTAACTTAATATATACATATACATATATATTGTTGTATTGCTTAATTATATTTTAAGAATCAAGTTATTGTAAGGTATTATTGACTTAACCATAGCTGTGCACATCTCACTAGCTTATTCAATTGGAACGTTAAACAATTGTTTGTGTACATGACTGCAGAATATGAGACACCTACAAATGCTTTAAATCAAGTAAACCATTTATGTTCATAGTTATATTATTTATCGAATTACTTGCACATTTTGTTTCATATTCTAATATTTTATTTAGGTAGTTTTATGGGACAAAATTATTTTGAGAGGTGAAAATTCCAACTTGCGCCTTAAAAATATGCGAACAAAATATTATTTTTGGGACGATGGTAATGGTTTAAGGTAACTAAATATTATAATCATATCTTACAAAAAAAAAAAAAAAAAATACATAATATTTATATATATATTTGCTTTTAACATAAAAATACTTAGGTCTAATTTAACACTAACAGATAACAAATACTTTGTTAGGTATAATAATATTAGTATATAATTTAATACTCACTAATCGAAATAAATTTTAAATTGAATTACATAATACAGATTTTATTCTCAGTTGATACAAGTTTTTGTCATGGGACAGTATGCCATTATATGAATAAAATTGTTATACTTATGTTAAGAAAGTCATTGCTTAAATTAAATTCATATTTTTATTATTATTAATTTATTTTGCTATTATTATTACTTCTACTAAAAAATGTTTATTAAGATTTGTTCAATCTATTAATATTATAGAAGAAAAATATTAAAATTTTGATAAAAATAGATAATTCAGTTATTATTATGTTTTACAGAGGAAATAAAAATGTGACTCTTACCTTGTCCTACAACATCATACCAAATGTGGGTCGACTGCCAATTGTAGGTGCCATCGGATCTCATACATTTAGTTTTCCTTCACAATATACACGATGATGACACAATATTGTTCCTTGATTTGAATATATGAATATAATATTTATGTTATATGTTAATATATGTTTTTTTCTTCAAAATTATTTTATTATTATCTAAATTTAAGTCCAAATGATTATGTTCATTATTTGTTTGTATTTTCTAAAATTATTATAATGACACAATTATTAATGACATTTGAATTTATTGTTTTTTGAGTATTTTGATTTAGCAATGGTAATGTATTAAGTTTACAAGTTTATGTAGATGCCGAAATTGTGTCGGGTCCTTTTTCTACAGATAGGTCACTGGATATTTTCAAAAGTTTTCTAAGTGTCTGTAAAAAAAATAAATACATATATATATATATATATAAACATAATATATATCTAATAACCAAACCATAATAATATTTAATTTATATAAAATTGTATTTAATCTAAATTCCATTTATCATTTATCATACATAATGTTATAACAAACACAATGTACATACTTCTAGGTATTTAATTTTATGATACATACATATTATTTATGTAATTGATTCAGTTACTAGTGAAACTTTAAAATTCCCTGTTATTTTTATATTTTCATAAAACCAACAACCATAATGATATTATAACACTTGAAAAATAATGTTTGTTTACGTACAATATTGATAAACATGCTTCATAATACAATATACATTTTTAAAATTATTATATTTTATTTTATATTAGAAATAAAACGAAGGAATACTCATTAAATTGTCTTATGTTTAGACTTAGCCTGTCAGTGGTTACAATATAAGTGCAGTGTTCACAATTAATAATGTGTAGGCATCATTGTTTTCATGTAAATATCACCAATTTAAATAATTACTATATAAATAAAATTAAACGATACAATTTTTTTGCCTTTTTTGTTATTTAGATGTGAAGAACTAAATAAATTATCTTATTTGATCATAATTGTGTTATTATTGTTTCAAGTTAAAAATATAATAAATAAATGGATGTAGAATTAAAAATTGGATTCTTTTAAAAATATAAATGATTTGAATGATGGTTATGATTTTGCATTTAAAATTGAGTATAAACAGTATTATTATAATATAATGGAGAAAATATTTTTATTGTTTTCTTTAATGTCAATCTTTATTATCTAAAAAATATGATCTCTGATTTACATTAAAAAAAAAACATTTGAGAAATTGTCAAAAAACAACTAGTATGATGCTTTTAATGCTTACACACGACGAATGATGTTATAGAAAGATAACAGAAAAATTAAATTAAAGGAATAACTAAGATTCATAATTAAAATTACATATTTATTACTATTATTGAATTTTATTTAAGAAACTTACTACTTTAAAAAATGCCAGAAATAGTTTTGAAATTTAAAACGCTATGCTGTTACCAAGCTTTGAATAATAAAAGTTAATTTAGTGGTTATGTAAATCAATGAAAAAATTTAAATATTTCTAATTTCAATTGTTATTCATATTGTACAATATACTCTATAAAAATAATAAAACAAAATGATGTATTAAGATAATAAATTCACATTTTTAATCATATTTGAAAAATATGAAGAATAGAAAATTATATTTTTTGGTTAAAAAAGTAGTTAAGTATACAAGAATTAGCAAGTAATACAATATGTTGATGAATCATGACATAAAAAGAACTGTTAAGAATAAGTTATATTTAAAGTGATGTATTTTTTATATTGTGTAAAATAATGTTAAGCTACACTAATGAATTATAAGCCAAAGTTTATATTTACAAACTATTTTTATCTGAAAAAAATGAAAAGAGTAAAAAATAAAAAATTGAGTTACATTAAGTATATTAATAAACTAATTAGTAAAAAAAAATAATTAAGTGAAAAAGTATAATAGTAAAGGTGATAATTTAAAAATAGAAAAAACAGTATGACGTATTATATGATGATTAAAGTTTGAATAAAGCTTTATTAATAGAGTAGATTTAAATAAAAACAAATAAATAACACATACTTGGTTTTCAATTTGTAACCTGCCAATAGTTTCTTCCTTTTTACTTGCTTCTTCAGCTTCTAAACGAGAAGCAAGACTCATGACAGCCATCATTTCTTTGATACGTTCTTCCTGTTGAATTATCAACGCATTTTTCTCTTCTATTGTCTGAAAGACAAAAACCAAGGGAAATTTATTCTATGAACTTATTCTTTGAATCTAGAGTATGACTTATTTTACCTTGGCTGTGATATTGTTAACAAGCTGGTCGGCACTGCTTTGGGAAATAAGATGTGAAACCTGAGACCGATATTTGCTCATGATCATTTCTAGCGCAGTCTGGTGTTCAGCAACCATTGCTCTTAATATTCGGTTTTCACGTACAATCTCTTGTAACTGCCGACTTTCTGTTCGAATAGAGTTGACCAGTTCTTCATGTGGCAGACCTCCTTCTTCCATGTCGTTGAGTTCTGATAAATCGTCCGTATACTAAAAAGAATCAACAGTCAAAAGGTTATAATTATCACTAGACTTGGACGCAAAACAATGATTGGTTGACTCATAGGTGGACTTAAGATTTGATTGTTAGAATCTCATACAATTTTTAAACAATATAATAACTAGTGGGGGGCTCATTCTACATCTATTAAAGTAATATTAACTAATGAATTACATTTTATTTTGTGCCTACTCTCAATAACTCTAAGAATATGAAGAATACGGGAGAGAGGAAGTGTCCAAAGCTCGTTCACTAACCCAAAGCTTACACATGCCTGAACCGATTATTTGATACCTATTTAATAATAATAATATTGTCATTATCTAGTCACTTGTTTCATGGCATCGATCTTCTTGTAGACGAACTGGGCTTGGGACAACAACGAATCGGCTGCTGTGTCGTGTTCTTTGAGTTTGGATGCCAATCGCTTGGCGTCGGACAATATCTGCTGTACGGTGACGGACATTACACAGGAGCACGCACGGTAGACGACCACAGAGTTGAGGTGCAATATGAGAACGACGACGATATCGTATCAATGTCGTCTTCGCAATTCTCGACGGATGTCTACGAGACGACGAGACGCGTGTAAGATAGTCTCTCGAAATGCCATTGACGACGTACGCACTCCATGAATTACACGATGGCGTTTTCAATTACAAAACAACGATTACGAGTTACGGCTGCGGACGTCTTAAAAATGGAAACGCGATCGAGCGTAGGCAGATCGAGTAGGTGCAGACCCTTAAGGTCTATCTATACGGGCAGCACGAGTGGGAAGGCGAATGGCGGTACGGAAATTTCCAGTCTTGACATAATATTGTTTTTACAATTCGTATGCGAACAACAAAACGATGCTCGGTGCTCGGCAAATTGCAAATCTGTTACTGTATTATCTAGACATTGTTTTTTTCAATATTATTATTATTAAAATTTGCGTGCTACCATTGATATAACTATGGATCAGCTGCTGCTGTAAAGCTTAGATAATAAAATAATATACACAGATAGGGCTCGTAGATAGTTATTATCTATGTCTTATCATGTACGTTTTGTGAGAACACCCGAACACGCCATTCAGATTTATGTACACGGACGGAAGGGCATATACATAATAAGGTAATCAGATATTAAAATCCGAAATGAAATACATTTTAAAACTTAACTCCTCTACAACGAAACAACCTTTCCAAGAAATAATTGTTCAATTGGTATATGTATTGTTCTATATTTCTATATTCTACACGCTTGTCCATATTAGGTAGATAATTTCTGGTTAGTCGCCTATTTTATTTGTTCACCCTATAATTTAAATATCAGCTATTATCAACTATAAAAATAAATATTCAAAATTAAATAAGTACTCTTCATTACTCATCTCAATTGCTTCTACAGATAAGAATAAAGCAGATTCTCTTGCCGAAGAACTATCAAAAGTATTCAAACCCCATCTCATTTCCTCATCAGCATTACACATGTCGACAATCATGGAATCTTTCCAGTAAACTTTATTTATATGGCTCCTCCTCCATAGAGGGTATTCTTGAAAAATTGGCAAACAACAAATCCCCAGGCTGTGATTTTATTTTCAACAAAGTTGTTAAAAATCTCCCTGTGAAAATGATCGCTCATCTATCATATACTTACATACGTATTTATAACACAGCCCTTCGCTTATCTTACTTTCCAACAACTGGATATAATCAATCATTGTCACAGTATACCTACTTAAATCTGGCAAGCCTCTAAAAGTCTAGAAAACCCTTCCACGTACAGGTCCATTAGTTCTCTACTAGTATTGGGTAAAATTCTTGAAATAATTATAATGAGTGTTATGGAGTGGGAATGTAGTCGTGTGGGATTTTGTTTAATAAGAAAGTTAGGGCAATAAGACGGGGGTTAAGGACAGAATATAATTCGTCGAGGAATTTGATGATGATATAAAGTGGTCGATCAGGCGATGCTGTGCTCGTTGTGGTTTCGGCGTAGACGTCTTTCTTTTACATTTGGACTGGTGACTCCGTTTTTTACATCTTCGCGGTGCGGGGGCACGGCATATGTTGGAATGGGATGATTTTTAAAAATTGTTTTTTGGTTTTGATGCGAATTATCACTTATTATATATTCATATATTTTTAAATTTTACATACCCTATTGTTGGCTGTGTGATTTCCTTCGCAGTTTGTACATTTTGTGGGTTCCTACTGTATTTTAGAGCAGTTGTTAGTGGCGTCTTCTGATCCGCATTTCACGGAACGCGGATAGTGATAACAATTATTTTGTGTATTTTTTAACTTCTGATAGTGGTGGGTGGTGACATTGAGGACTGGGGAGGACTGATTTTTCTCTTTGGGTTTTCGAATTTTACGATTAAGTTAAATATTTTGGTGGTTTTGAATATATTTTCTCTAATATATAATTTATAAGTGTTTCGAGCTAAGCTAATGTTGAAAAGAGGTAGTGGCAATTTATTTGTACGATAAGATATATTTGAAATACACTGATCTTTATGTACAAGGTCCTTTGGACAATTTACGATGTCCACGATGTAGTAGTGGATGTGGCGTAGTATTCTGTATTATACGATAAGGTTGAAAGATATAGGGGAGAAATGAATGATATTCGTAATCTGTGTCTACTAGATAAGAGTTAATGGCCGTGAATAATTTGATTCATGTGTTTGACTGTACGATAAAATTAGATCTATTATTAGCTTTATATGTGAAATTCTCTGGGCCCATCACGGGAGTTGATCTTCATTAAGTGTAACATAATCGATTACGTTTTCTGAGACAATACTTGAAAGTCTTAAATTACTTGGTTTTGATGAAGTCTTGTTAAATTTTGATGGTAAGACGAGTTAATTTTTAGTTTGGACAGAGATGTGTTAATATGTGTTAGGTAAAAGTATCAAACTATAAAATATAATTAATAATCAAATTATAAATTAACCATTACCATATATTAGCTTGTAATATTTTTAAAAAACGAATACAATTTTATGTACTTAGCACTGTTGTCAAGAACACTAGGATAGTGCATCAAAAAAGAGTACTTCCTAGTTCCTATGACGCTATGGAAAAGGGTACGTCTTACGCAAAGATATGGAGGCTTTAGTAATTTTAGTAATAATTAATAAATATTATAATTTGTAGATAAAAATGTTCTATGTACAATAAATAGATACTAAATCTAATATTACAGCTATTTCATATTTTTTTAAAATTATTTTTGTTTTTCGAAGACTATTATTATTGGTATAAATTTGAATAAGTAACAACTGAAAATTAATATGTCCTAATAACTAGATGGTAGATAGGTACTACAATTTTGTATTAAATATATCAACATTTTTAAAATTATTTATATTAAAAAAGACAGACTGTTATTTAAAAAATAAAAATCACACATCATGTATATATACCATACACGTGATGACTGATGACCTATAACGTACTCTTTTTTTATAGCCTCATAGAATAATACTCTTTTGATTCACTGTCCTAGTGTCATTGACAATAGTATTAAGTAGGTACATGAAATTGTACTCATTTTTTAAAAATATTTCAGGCTAATAAATGGTAACAATTTATTTATAATTTTATTATTCATTTACATTTTATGACTTTTATTCGACATTTTGACTTAACGCGTATTAATAAAATATATTACCTATACATCTTTAATGAAATTAAATATGTTGAAAACATAATATTATAATTCAATTAATTCAAACCGACTATACTGCAGAAGAAATTTATCCAGTTTTTATAATTTTTTAATAATAAGAGTCGGTTACCGTTTACATAGATCTTTTTTTCAGTCAAAATATTTACTAATTTAACTAAAAAAATAATCTTTTTTTCCTGTTATAACCGACGACGCCGCGGGATCTGCTTTCGCATTGCTTCCGCAGCGCCGCCATTGTTTATTGAAAATCAAACATTAAAACGTACGTGGGGGGTAGGCAGGATAGCTCCCCGACTTACCCCCCGTTCCTGCATTTTCAAATTATACATTTTGCCTAACGACTAACGGGATTTCGGACCTCTTCCTGACCTTCTCGGGCCGACTGGTGTCCGCCGCTCTGGATGTCTCGTTCTCCATCGGGGCAGTCACAACCGTGCAGTGCGCACATTCCCTTGTGCCCTTTGCAAAGCCTCATCTTCATGTTCATCCTTTTCTTTGGTCGACAGAATCGTCTCAACCATGCGAATGAACTCCAGACGATTAGTTTCAGCCTGTTTGCTGATTCTCCTTCGGGCTTCGGCGTCTTCTGGCAATGCGTGTGGCAGGGGATCGCACAGGATCTCCTCCACATCGCCCACGTTCGGAGATCGCCTCATAATCTTTGTCATTCGAGCGCGGTCGTCAAGCCATCTCGGGCAGATAAAAACCGTATGTTCAACAGTGTCGTCGGGGTCGGGGCAGTATACGCAATAGCTGTCGTCCGCCCGGTTGAACCTCTCCAGATAGCTCCGGTAGCATCCGTGCTCCGAAAGCATCTGTGTCAGTCGGAAAGTCAGGGTTAGCGGTGGTTTTGTTAACCAGCGCCCAACGTCAGGGAGGAGCCGGTGCGTCCATCTGCCTCTATCAGACCGGTCCCACCGAGCTTGCCAAGCTGCAATGCTGATTATTCTCTTCTGTTTTCTAACGTTGCCCGGGGCATCTAGGCGAACCCGAACTCTAGCCCTTTTTATAGCAGATAGCATTGAGGCCAATACTGACGAGGCGTCTGCTGAGACTGTCATGTAAGCACGTATTGTGCGGAGTGCAACGGTCTTCTGTGCTCTTGCCAGTTCTGCGCGATTCTTAGCCGTTTTTGTGCTGCGAACGGCCAGGTCGGCGAGGCGTACAGCATCTTACTGTTTGCCACAGTGCCAAGAAGCGCTCTTTTGCTTTGCGACGGTCCACCGAAGTTGGGCATCAATCTGCCTATGGCTTTCGCTGAATCGGTAGCCTTGCGGGAGGCCTGTTGTATATGTTTGGTGAACGAGAGCCACGTGTTAATCTCAACGCCAAGGTATCGCATTGACTGTTTGATAAGAATTACGTGTCCTTCAACTAGAAGATCCGAAGATTCGGATTGTCGTATTTGTACTAAAAAAAAAAAAAACTAATCTATATTATATTACTTTTTGCTATGGATATTCGGTATTCTGAACAATCTTTTTTAAGGAAAATAATTACAATTATTTTTATTTGTTTTTAAGGAAGCTTGTAAAACTTTTTAGGTGGGGATGACTCCCCCTTGCTAATTTCTTACAATGTAGATCATAAAAAATTAGTCCAATGTACACTTATTTAATTTATCATAGATAAGTGATTAGGTACCAGTTTGAATTATTTAAATAAAATTCTAGTATGCTGTAATTACAGTATTACACGTAAAGAAAATATTAATAATAATCAACGAATGATTCATAAAAATTGATGATAACCGTAGTTCCATAAATAATAATAAAATATTATCTTGAAGACAAAACTTGTATACATAACTAAGTTTTCTTTTTTAAATCGAAATGGGGATTTTTTCTTCATCTCATCTGAGAAATGTTTTGAAAAAATTCGTGTTAACTCTATTGTGTTATTGGCTATTGGTATAATCCAATTGTGTTTAATTTACCTAATGAACTATTTTGTTTATATTTTAAAACAAATGCATGCAGTACCGGATCTAGGGGAGGGCAATCCGGGGCACATGTCCCAGGCGCTACTCATAAAGGGGCGTCAATTTCTAATTATACAATAAGTAAAAAAAATGTTATTGATATAAAAGGGCACCAATTTCATATTTTTCCCCTGGTTAAAAAAATGTTATATCCGACATTGAATGCATGAAGTAAAATGTTAATTAAATCTGATATTAATAGATCCACTTATTAAGGGATTTAATGTAGGCAAATTTAATGACACGTGGAGAAAAATTTAAAATCTTGAAGTTACAAGTTGTCCCGTGTTAGTACCACTGTTGTTTGTTGTGCAATTATGACGCGTTTTGTTAAAAATAACCTTGTTGTTAATCAATTAAGTTTTTACGTGTAACTATAAACAGATCGTTAGTGATAAGTAATAACAAATTATAATTATTTGCTTGCGTAAATGTGACTACAATGATTATATTATGCCAATGCAGCTATTGCAGTTACATCGTAAATAATATAAAACCTTATTAAGGTATACGATAGGTACACTTAAATGATGTTTGGACTAGGTATGTGACCTACATTATACATATAAACTAATTATCAAAAAATAAATACATACTTTTATTATTATATTATATCATACTTTTTATTATTTGATATATTTATATACTGATTATAATAAGATGTTGATTATTTTACTGCTAACACATTAGTTGTATTTGTGTGATTATATACACAATATACAATATATATTTTAACAAAGTTGTGTTTAGTACTATAATATAATATTTCGATGACGAATAAATTTGGCAGCAGCATAGGTGAATCGCGTTTTTGATTTACAGAGGCATTGTATTTAAATTAAAACAAAGCTTATTGCCTATAATTTAATATTTATAGACGAAGCTTAAGTCTATATTTTAACATGTCTTAGTCATATATTAAGATAGAAAGAAACAAGTTAAAGTGAAGTGTTATTAAATAATGGAATTATTTTTGGAATGGAACAAAATATTCATTTTATGTGTAAATTTTTTGCTTTTTTGTATTGTTCTAATCTCATTTCTGCATACCTGAAAAATAAAAATAAATACTTAAATAATGTTTAAAAATAAATACAAATTATTAAATGTATAGTTAATAGGTTTAAACTAGTAAGCAAAATTGAATATAAAATACATGATTCATTATAGATAAATATTTACACATGTAAACCGTATTTCACCCAGAAAGTGTATCACAGTCCCATTCACGAGTATATAAAAAAGGCTTAAGTCATATACTTAGTAAAATTAAAAGTTGAAAATAGTTTAAAAACTGTTAAGTTATTCTTAAAATATACAATTTAGTCAAATTTTAAACTTCGTCTATTTTTCATCAATAATTTTGTAACCATGTTATTACTTTAAATAATCGAAATTGATCACCGATAATTCGGCTTGTACAAGTGACCAGAATAGCCACAACAAATGCGACGCCATTGTAAACATGTCCACTTGGTGTTTAAGCACAGCAACCCTTTGATCATTTTGGTCCAAAGATTCACCGGTGTATTCTTCTAAGTACGATTTCAGCCAGTCCATTTGTAAATCAACATCTGGATACAATGAAAAGTCCGGTTCTTGAACACCTATGTAATAAAAATGTTAACGTAAATCGATGATAAAAAAAATAAATACATTGTGTAAAACAATGAAATTCCTTGCCGTTAGTAATAATTTTAATTTTTAAACCATAATACGATCATATTTGTTCACATGTTGAATATAAGTAACCTTAAAGTTAAAATTATGTTAGATTTCCATAAGCATTATTGGGGGAGGAGTCGGCTAGGGTTAGGCTAGAACAGGACATTAGAACTCTCAATATTTATACGTATTTATGTATTGAGATTTGATACTTAATGGTTTTATAAAAGTTTTAATAATATGGCAATTGTTATACCAGGAATAGGATATTCAATAATGTGTAATTATATTTTATTTTTAGCTAGAGAATAATATTGAAACATATTATAATAGTTAAAAGTTTCAATAAGACAGAAGAGATTGTTAACTTCGTTAACCAATTTGTCAATATTTTGTATAGAACAAAATTCAATCAACAGGTTGTAAATATAAGCACAGCAACAGAAAAATAAGAACCAGTAAAACATTAGAGTAGTTTATGGTTAGTTAAATCTTATTTTATTTTTCAGAGCGGAGTGATTATTATATTTGCTTTACAATTATGTATTATTATGAATTTTTTTTGTTTTTTTTTTTTTTTTTTGTTCTTTTAGAACAGAAGAAATACTCTTCAATCTTCAACTTTGTGATCAGTAAGTTATCTGACAAATCGAATGAGTTTATCTAGACCTTCTTATTCACATTTAATGTTGAGAAAAACCCACCACTTTTATCCCTATTCCCGTGGCTATTAATAATAATATTTATTTACAAGTAAAATAGTTTGATAGTTTAAAATAAGGGGTTTTCATAAGTTGTTCTTACACTAAAAAAAAATATCTAAAACACATACTTAAAATACTTTTATAAGAGTACAAACTATTAAGAAAATTTTTAAAATTACAAAAATATGTAAATTATTTTACAGTTAAAATTTTATAAAAATTTTAATTTTACCTAAATAAATTTAATTATAAAAATGAATGTATTTTAATAAGCAGAAAAAGAACTAATATATTCTGAAAATTTTACTAAATATCTAGAAATTGATTTGGTGAAAATATAGTCTTTATGGGTTGAATTAAAGTACAATAATGAAATCGACTTAGTAGAAAAAATTGCTTTGCATAATCTTGTTCCAAAATTTTTTAAATTATTATCTTGAAAAGTTCTAAGATTTGATTTTGTACTTTAAACTTTTTACAGTACCACAAATAGATCAAACGATATTGTTTCCTACTTACAGTTAATCTTAAAGCCAAAGATTGAAATATTTTTTCAGAAGACGTTTTTAAACATCCAAGAATAAACAAGTATCACTGTAAAATTATTAATCAATATTAAATATTTATTGCTCCGCTCAGAATAAAGCTAGAAATAAGCTAAAAATGTTAAAAATATAAAACAAAATTTAATGTACTTATCCTACACAAATGATTACAATATCCTAAATTAATTAATAATGTAATATAAATACCAGCAAATTCAATAAAATGATTAGCTATGTCAAACGCCTGATTGTTGACCATTCCGTACTCATAATCGATAAATGTTATGCTGACGGGATGACCATTCGCTGCGTTATCACGCTGCAAAAGTATGTTGCTCAACAGCAGATCGTTGTGACAGAACACGACTGGACTTCCGATATTGTCCAGCAATGTTTTCAGAATTCCAATATCAGCCCGCAGATTCTCGATGCCTTGGGGGAATGTCTTTCGGAATCTATATACATAAATATTATCGTTGATTATAATATTTATATAATCAACGGTTTTATGTGTTATAAATTAATTCAGACGCAGATGGTTTTAAACTTTTAAATATATAATATATTATAAATTTATAAATAATAGTATAGCCGCGGGTAAATAACACGTGTTTATATATAAAAAAAAAAATCATAGCTAAATATTAAGCTAAACCTATCTACATGCAATAGAAAACTAAAAATAATGGTTTGCATTCAAAAAATATTTTGTTTCCTAATGTTGTATAGCGTAAACATGCCAAATCAATATCCTTAATTTTTTCTTTCAAAATAATCATCTTGTAGTGCATATATGATCGATAATAATAAATAATACTTAATGCTTTGAATTGCTTTATGAACTAACAAGAGGTCTTTGGCAGGAGAACTAAAACGCTTCGGAATGAGATTGATAAACTGTTCCATTTTACTCCAAAGTTGGGATTTGATCGTTCCGTCTTCTGCACTTATGCAATTTGTACTTAAGCGGTGAAATCTCGCCATTGTTTTGGCTACTAGCCTGTAAACGCTCGGGTCCCGAACTGTAGAAGTGGTCAACGTTTCCCCTTTAATGTATTTGTACACCATGCCATTATCGAACGTTGCATATAAGTCAGGTGCAAGTCCAGCACGATACAAAAGCTGGAAAACATTTAAGAACATATATGATACTGTTATCATGATACTTCTATACAATTTAAAATATTATTACGCTCAGCAATTAATTTATAAATATTTTATTATTTAATTTTATCAAAAAAATAATGAGCCTCTCTAATTATATTCATTTATATATTTTTCTCATGTTAGGTCTGTTAGGACAGATTTTAGCTAGATACTATTCTTATCTTGACGACGTTATGATTAGGTAGGACTCCATAATATGTTGCTGAAACTTACAAGTATAGTCACCTATCTGGAAACTAGCAACGGAACTTAATTCATATTAATAATATTTATAACCAACTATAAGCTAATGTTCTTAAAATATGTAGTTATCGATTTTATACTGTACGAATAATCATGTAGAGGTACCTACTGTAAAAGTATACTAAAAATACTAAAATAGTTTTTCGAGTATCTAAAACAATAAATTGTATTTGACTAGATAATAATGATAATAATAAAAAATTATAAACAAAATTGTAATTAAATTTAAATATAATATAACCTAAAATGTTTTTAATGTTTTATGCATATTATATATTTTCACGTTTATATGAATTTATTATAATATGTTAGAAAAATATTGAAAATTAATCTCAATTAAAATTTTCTAAAAAAGTAGGTACTCGATAACTCTTTTGTTTATTAATGATGATTTTTTCAATAAATAAACATGCAGTAACTGAATACATTTTTAATGCATTCATTGAAAAATATTAAAAAAAAAAAAATTAATTAAAAAAAAAAATGAAGAGTTATAATAAATATCGAAGAATTAAAATCACATAAAAGAGATTAAAATTTACCAAGATAATTAAAATTAGAGTGTTTATTGTTAAAAGAAACAATAATCATTTAATGATATTTAACTACTAACTATTATTAATATAGGTTATAATATGATTGATATACGCAATTAGTCTTGATACGATTATACGATTAATGGCAATACAAATTACAGTAATATAAGTTTACTATTAGATATGTAATTATCATAGCAGTATTAATTGTCTCAAAACTTTCAACAATCTTTAACAATATTTAATGTAATGCAATAAATGTAAAAATTTGTGTGAATTTATTATACAGGGTGTAGTATAAATGGCGGATAGTTGAAATATAAAATTAAAGGTTGATACAAAAAAATTGATTTAATAATGAGGTAGGAAAATATGAGTAATCCTATAACTTAAATTTAACATAATATATTTTTAAATTTGAAAATATTAATTAATCATGTTATATACGAGTATGTTAATAAAAAATGAATACCTTTAGTATATATTATACTGAGACACAATAGTTCAGATCGCTACTCTACGACTTTATAGTGTCTATACTCTGTAGTAGAATAAAGCTTAATATTTTTATATAATATAAATGTAGCTAGTAAATTTAACAAATATAGAAAACAACAGTTTTATTATTATTTTTATTGTTAATGTAACTCCTGTTTTAAAATTATTGGATAATGAAATTGTAAAAAATAATTTGTTGATAATTTGCATTGCACTGACAATAATACAAATCTACATAATATAACAATATATATAATAGAAAGGTATGGATTAAAAATATTTATACAAATAGCTGCTAAAAGATAAAATTTACGATAATTTATGGTCCTTTATTTGTGAATATTATCATTGATATTATGCACTATAGTACATAAATAGATATGATAGAATAATAATTGCATATGTATATATTAAATTTCATAGATATAAAAATGAACAATATTAAGTATAATGCTCACTCCCCTCACATTTATCTTTTTATAATGTATTAATTCGAATTTTAGTTTTTGAAATTTGTAGTACTTTATATTTAAGGCCAAATTTTAAAATTTTTAAATTATTAATATTGTTTAAAATGTGTCATGAAGCTATATAAAACTTTATCAAATGAAAACCCCTAACTTTTTTACTCCAAATTGTTAATTCGATAGACTTTTTTTAAAATTTTGAACGCATTTAAATCAAAATTTGAATAAATTCATTATTTAAAGAAAAAACAGATATTGAGGTTGGATTACCTAGTAACCTAGTACACTACGGAAAAAACGAACCTTAAAGTTTTCAAATTCTGCTTTTCTGTCGATGATCTGTTCCGTATTTTTTCCGTAGACACGTACCAGCACTCCATTATCTTCTGGACGCGAATCGTCGAACAAACCAACCAACTTGTTAGTAATACCATCTGTGAACAACTAATGTTTTATGCACAATTTCGATGATTAGTTTAACTCCAGATTTTTGTAAGCCATTAAAATAAATACAACTTAAACATATCTTAAAACTTTATAAATATATTTAATATATTATGCGGTGTATACAAGCGATGTAGAACAATATATTATGTAAATAGATATGTTAATAACTATGATTGGTTTTTTCTAACCTTAAATCGAATTTTTTCCAAATTCCAGTCTGGTCTTATCAATTTTAATATTATTCGAGAACCGTTTTCGATACTGTTGTCTTCAACAAAAATGGGCAAGTGAGGAATAGTAGACATTTCCGGTGATTGAGAAGCGATCATCATGTTACAAAATGAATTGCATGTCTACTATGCGTTTAACGACACACTACGCACGACGTAGAAGGTGAAACGCATGTGATGCCGTGATTCAATTTCTAATCATAAACAAGAAATATATTAGCTTCTGATCTCGCCGACCACTTATTCCCCTCTTTCAAATCGATATAGGTAGTATTATATATTGTTAATTCGGCCAGTGATAAGATAAAACTACATATTGTTTTAAAAACATGCGATTTAATCTGTAAACAAAAAATAAGTAATAGTAATAATAGTATTAACTTTTAAATAATTCTATTAATAATCAATGGCAGGATTTAGTAGAGCTAGTAGAAATATTCAATAATATCTATAAGTGTATAACCTGTATTATTTAAAAACAATTGAATCGTTGATTGCAGAAACGACATGAGTTAATTTTTTAAAACTTTTGAATAATTGATAAAAAGCGTATAATTTAAATAATTCTAAAAAAATTCTTAGTTAAAAATGAATACTTGTAGAAATATATTATGCACTGATTATACATAATTTATGTATATAAATAATATGAAGTTTTTTTATTATTGACTTTCAAAGTTTTCTGACGCATGACGTTTCACAAAAAATGTGACTCGTGTCGTTTTTGCAATCATCGATTCGATTGCAGTTAAACATAAATATTTTGTATTCTGTAGTCACTGCGAGTTGTGACATGACAAATAACTATAACTGAGTTTGGCTGAAAAGGCGAAATGTGTGCTATACGCCTATACCATACTAATACACATTATGTATTATGTATAATTAATTTTATCAAGTTGCCGAAGTTTTTTTTATTAATAAGGACATTTTAATGTATACAGGTATTTAAAAGACTATAATTTTTGGGTAACTTTGAAAAACTTTCATACAAGTTACATTCCATTAACATTAACACAGAAATATGCCGCACTGTTTGTGACAATTAATAAAACATTAGGCAACTGTTAGCAGGTTTATATTACTTGAATAGAATTTTCTGCATATTACTCGATCTGAATAAATGTTCAATAAATGTTTTCAAAAACAATTATTTTAGTATTATTATTATAGCATTATATCATCGTAATAAATATTTTGTATTATTCCTGACATAATACACCTGTATGAATACGTTGCTGAGCATCAGTACACTTAACATGTTTACGCGAAATTATAACATCGAATTCTAAAAACCAATTGAAAATATAATATTTAATCAACAATATTAAAGATTATAAGCTGAATAGGTATAATGAATGTATTACAGGTTTTAAATAATAATAATAATTACACTGTTTTACTGGATATTAGTTATTTAAAATGTTATAACTTTATAAGTTAGTGACAATAAAATATGATCTAAATATATTATATTAAAATAAATATTACTTGATATTAACCTGTTTAATGTTTCTGATTAAAATTAATTCAACTTGGTGTAGGTTTATAAATAGAAAAATAAATTGGAAAGTCAAAAGTTTATATGGTGTTTTCAATGTTAATTGTACTTTTTTTTTAAAAAGAAGTTTTCATCACAATTCACTATTAAAAGAATCTTCCTATACAATAGTACGAAAATACTTATATGTAGCATAGTAGATACATAATATACCAGGTAGGTATAGTAGACGGTACTCACGAATAATATGATATATGGCTTCAGTAGTTAGCAATTGTATTAAAATTACGTAGATGTAACTATAATAGGTAATTCAATAGATGCCATTGCTCTAGTTTAGCCACAATAATTGTTACTGAGAAACCGAAAACATTGTTTAACATTTTTCGATATTTTAAGGTTTATAATTTGAATCACATAGTTTAATAAAAACATTTTTTTTTTTTTTTTTTTTATTAGCTAATTATTAATCAATTATTATATTATAGACGTAGTCTCTCAATCGAAATATAATAAGTTTTGATTTATAACTTGATAATTTGATATAAAGACATTTTGTAATAAAATATATATTTTGTTTCATAAACTAAATAAAAAAATATTTAATAATAAACGAATTATTTTAATCAATAATAAGATATCTCTTAATTTTTATTATTATACTGAATGAATTTTTTTATAGTTAACACTCACATTATGTCCAATTAATAACGCTTTATTGAATAAAATAAAATATTTTTTATTTATCATTCATTTATTTCGTTTAGATAATAAAAAGGCATTTTAATTTTATATTGTATAACATGATGGCTTATTGAAAATGTTTATATATGAAAATCAAATGAACAAGAGGTTAAACAGTTAGGTATATTAACTTTTTAAGTATTTTAAGTTTGTATGCGCTATATTGTAGCAAAACATTAGATATGTGGGTCGTGGGATACCTTTGAGGTGCAACTTATAAACTACGCAGATCTGAACTTTAAACACATAAAACAAAAAAGTATTAATTAACGATATATCTTAAAAGCTGTAGGTATCAGTCAGGTAGGTAATCATTCGAAGCTAGCAAAAATATTCTGCTTATAATTTATTTAAAAATAAATTAAAAACTTAAAATATGATAGGAAGAAAAACATTATTACCTACTATTTGAGACAGTAAATATTTACAGTTAAAAGAATCAATCTGCATATTTAATCTAATAAATTTGATTAGATTTGAGATTGATACTTTATTTTTTAATAACAAGAAAAGTATATTATTATTTACAAACAGACATTCATTTATAGACAGTATATTTATAATGTGAAATTTTATGAGTAATCGATTCAGGTTCAAAAGAAATTAATACTAACACATATATGTAGGTGCATCATATAGATTATCCATACATAAATAATAATGACATAAATTTAATAAAATTGTAACTTTTAAGTTAAGTATAGTTAAGTCTTAAGAATAAGAATTAATTTTATAATTTATAGGATAAATTTATATTTTTATTATTTGGTTTTATCTACAGACACAATTTTATTAGGTTGATTAGTTTTCTTTTTCAGTGATTGCGGTGAATTTTTATTTGAAACAATTTTTATTTTTTTTACAACATCTTGTGTAACATTCGAAGACTTTTTAACTTTCTTATTAATTTCTCGGGAGTTTATTTGATTAGTTTTCTCAATATTTAACAGTTTATTGAATTTTTGAATATTAGTGTTATCATTACAAACAGATTTTATATCATTTTCTGCCGACTTTATTTTCTGATTTTCAGTTGATATTTTACCTGAAGTTATAGTTTAATAGTGATTTTTAGAAGTGTTCTTTGATAAGTTAACGTAAAATGCCAATAATAAGTTTATAATATATTTTAAGTTATGATAATACTTGCCACTTTGTATACCTACTTACTTTTAACGTTGTTTTCTTTTTCTAAATTCGAGGCTAAAATGGAAAACGAGTCTTTATTATTAATATTCCTGTATACTTCATGCAAAGGTGTATTGTCCATAGGTCGTCTTAAAGGGGAGATGTTTCTTTTAGATTTATTATCCTTCCTTGATCTCACGATTTCTAAGTTTCTCTTCAGTATTTCTAACTTTTCATTGGGGTATAGTAATTCTTCATTGTGATAATCAGTAAACATTGTACATTGTAAAGTTGGTTTTAGATTTTTTAATTTCTCTTCAATATTTTCATCTATGTTTTCTGTGTTTGATTCGGCCATTATGTTAAATATTGTAATTAGAACTAATACTGTTAGTGTTTAAAATATTGTATAAATCAACAAATCAACGTTGCTATGCCCATAAATTGTTATACAATTGTGAGTTATAGAAATAGTTATAGTTAATGCCATGTAAATATACAAATTAAGACTTAGAGGAAAACATGGTTAGTGATTACTCTTTAATAGTGTTGTAACTGGAAATATATTTCCAGGTTTCTATATGTTATAATAGAATATATTATATAACATTATATTAAAATATTAATTATCTATCAAGTAATTTAAATAAGTACCAACTTTTTAAAAACAAACATTATTTGGATACTATTATTAAATAATTATAAAGCATAATCAAATAAATAATGTACAATATATATAAAGATATTTGTTTTATTAATATTTATATTATTAATCACAGAAACGACTTTAATGAGTAAACTCGAAATTAATTAATAACTATAACATAATTTTATTTTTATTTTTTTTTTTTTTTTTTTTTGAGCAATAAAACAAGAAAACTAGAGGATTCGTCTTGCAGCTGTTTAGTAGTTGTCAAACATACCTTATCATTGAACTAAAATGGATAACAAGTATTAAATTTAAATTTAACGATAAATCATAACATATTATGAAAAACGATTTTGAGTGTAGACAGTCTAATTCAAAGATAACAAATTTGTCTGTACCAGCATGTTAAATAAAAATGTTGGTTGAATTTTATTTTTCCTACGAGACAACTAATTAGATGACCCTTTTTTTTTTAAATTTAAAATATTTTTAAATTTATGGCTTGATAAAAAAAAGTCAAACATTACATTAGTAAAAAGTTTAAATATATATTAGAGTATTAGACACTAAAAGCATATTATATAGCACATAAGTAGGTCTCGGATTTAAATGCAAAGACGATTCCTTACAATTCAGTTAATTGAATTCATTGAAGAAAATAGCTGCTCGCATCATAAGTTTTATAGAACCAAACATTGCCAACAAAGAAATTGCTAGTTTTTTCATAGAAGTCAAATTTAATTATATGTGAATACCTATAATTTCATGACTAACCAATCGGAATATGATAAATAGCAAATGACAAGACAAAAGATGTAATTATGAATCTGTCTTCAGTTTCTTTCGTTTAACAACAAAAATAACGCAATACAAAAATAAAATGTTAAATTATGATTTATGATACATGTTTTTGATGGCTGTAACACAATTGCACGCACGTTCTACCTTTTTACACGAAAAAAACCTATGTTTTATGAAATTTAGGCATTGTCCTTTTAACAATTTTACAGATTTAAGTTTGACAAAAAATTAAGCTGTTGGCTTGTTTAAAAATTGTTTCATATTATGACATTTATACACACAATAATAGTATAGATAAAAAACTACAAATTATATTTTTGTCATATAATCATATTTAAAAAATAAAAATTTTACCTGATATAATATATGTACAATAACTTAATAAATAATCTTTTTATTACAATAAAGTTATCTTGAAAAAAAAAATTATAATTTTAATGTTGTTCTAATTTTATCCAAGTTTGAATTATAAATTTTGATTTGTCTTATTCTTTCTGATGCTTGTTTGTATTATTTTTTAAATCTTATTAATTTTAAAGTAAATAAGACATATATTTATATTTTGAAATTTTATTCTGGATATCTTACAATATAATTATAGTTTCATTAATAGAAGTGTATGGAATATAAAACCATTAGTTATAATGTCGATGGAATGATTCTGGTTCATTAATCGTCCTAATATATAGGGAAAATGCTAATGTCTTTATGTCAAGTAGGTATTAATATTTTTAAATAGTATATTAAAAAATCATTTAAAATATAATACTTATATTTTAAGGAATGTAATCGTGTTGTGTTTTTTCATGTAAAACGTTAGAAAGAATACAATCGAGGTGCAGCGGTTTTCGTTTAATTTATAAAACTATTATACCTATGTTTATAAACAATTAAATTTAATACTTTGAGTTATGGTACTTGATAAAATACATCTTGTACGGATGCACGCTAGAACCCAATTTTTCAAGACACGTAAAATAAGTTTAAAAAAACATATTGTCAATGATCTATAAAGAGATAAATTTTAAAATTTTAAAACAATATCAAATCTTATTTTGGAAAAAAATATTAGAATCAAAATTCAATATTTGTAGAAATATTTAAAGTTTTTAATGATTTGCCACATTATATATTTTTAACCACAAAGAAAGTATTTATTTCATAAACGATTTACAGTAGGTTTTTTTTACTATTTTTAAAATGAAATTGTAGCTTGTATTTTACTGAATCCGGAACACTAAAATCTTAAAATAGTAAATTTTAGAGGTTTGTATCAACGGCGATACATAGGACGGGAAGGAGGCACGTGTCAAAGGCGTTGCAGGTGACACAAACGTAGTATCGTAAATGGTAATAATATTAATAATGACGAGAGGACGCCACACCCGAAATGTGTTTTTTGACTTTTTTCCGAAGTAAAAAAAAAAAAAAATCTATAAATTAACGTGAAAAAAACCAGTGAAAGAGAGAGAGATAGAAAACGGAAAATGTTCTAACTTTTAAGTTTGATGCAATAGCTCAATAGTCAATATTATTCATTCTATTGATTTACTATTAAAATTTAAATGCTTACAACCGCAAAATCGGAACTGCCCTATACAAATTTACTATGCGGCACGTTGGTACGACGGAAATAACACGTACAGCTTGCTGGTGTGCCGTCCTATTTTTTATAATATAAAACTATAATATAGGAAGCTGGCATTCAATATCAATAGCTATTTATACAATTAAATCGTATTATATCGCAATAAGTAATGATAACGTGCTTACGTGCCGGGCGATCCGTTTGACGGTGGTTATACGTAGCTGGGCTACTCCAGCAGAGGCCGCGTCCGATCGTCGTATTATTCGCGTAGGTACGGCTTTAGCTATTGCTGTCCTCGTGCCTCGTTACGTTGGGTATCGGCGACGAGCGGAACACTTAATCACGAGTCCCCGCGGTCACCGAACCACTACTGATCGTAACCGCCGATCCAATTTAAAAAAAAAGTCACGGTCAACAGACGATATTGTGTATCAACGAGTGTACGTCATATTATTACCTGTCATAGATCAAATAATATAACGTTATGTTTTCGTGGATGTCGTATAGACTATAGACGAATATGATGTGTGAACGTGAAATATTCAATGATTCGTTATCATCCGACGTTCAACGATTTCGATGTGATGTCTTATCAACGCGGGACGAATGTTTATAAATATTGTTATCACCTTATCATCATCGTCATAAGCACGGAGACTAGAGAGCTGATAAGGTGGCCAACCTCGCCCGAGAGCCCCTCCCCACAACGCCGTAATAATTTAAAAACGTCCCGAGAAAAACCACATTCGACATTCACCTTAGCCCGTATGCGTAGGGATTAAACTATGTAGCTGGGTATTTAAACAGATATAACTTTTAGATTTTTTTAGAAATTACCGTGTTGTATAAAACTATAAAAAATAAATATTATATAGGTGCCTAGATAATAAATAAGTTTTTTTTTTAACCTACTTTAAAAATATAAATGTATTGCACTGTGTTTTTATTTTATTTAGCAATCATCATCACTAAGAAATGTGTTTGGAAAATAAATTGATGATAGGAGGTGGTCAACGATTGTATTTAAATTATTTATTTCAATAGGTAACTACACAATTATTAAAATGTTAATAGTTTGTTTAAAAATAGCTATATATAATGTATTCTATGTATATAAAAACAAAAATCTGTATTACTTATATCAAATTAATAAGAAATTTTATTTATTTGAGTAAAGGTTTACTTTAAGCAGATATCTATAAAACTATTGAATCGTGTATTTTTTTTTATGCTGCCTAACTTCTATAATCATTCTTTTATTATTCATAAATATTTTTGAAAACTAGCACAAATATTTATTTTGAAATATTTAAGAAGTTAAATTAAAAATATGATCTTGTGCTTAAGACTAATAAGAGAAAATCTGTGGATGTAAATTATTAACGTACTATTTTGATACAAAATAAAATCATTATTTTATATTCAACCATTAAGTTTTATAATCAAAATCAAATTTCATGTAAAATACACCATATAGGATAATGATAATACAAGTATATTAGGTACCTATACATTAGGGTTGCCTTATATTCTGGTTTCATAGGCATATCCTAATGTCCTGACCTGTCATTCGTTTTGTCACTGTTATTAGAGCTAGGAAAAATCTAGGATTGTACATACAAATATGATAGAATAATAACTGAAACTATAATAATTTATTATTATCTTATCACCTATTTTTTCAAAAGTTGATGTATGGAAGGCGAAAGAAATAAAAATAAAGACAACAATTAGAATAGTAAAAATGGGTTCAACTATTTTGTCACAAAAAGAGCTTTTTCTCTAATGAATGTTTGGTCAGATGAAAGGGTATAGGATAAATGAAAATTCAATACATGCTCTGATGACAAAGTGAATTTAAGATTAACTTGCAGTATACTCTAAGGCGAAATTAACACGTTCACTGAGGATGACGCCAATTGGCGTCATTTAGTATTGTTCACATAATAATATAATGCGGATAACGCCCGTTGGCGTCATTCGCGACTGTATTTACTATATTCAACGTACTCAATCAGCGTTATGATTAAATGAATAATATTTTGTCAGCGTAATCTTTGAATATTACTTAATACGAACGTGCTAACTGCACGTCAATATTACTATTTTTAGTCAGTAAATTATTCAATCTATTTTGGGAAACTTCAGTATTGTTATTTCTTTAAAATGCATTATTTTAATAGTCATCTTGCCATTGTCGATTGTTAATTATATATGTATGGGGACGTACATAAACACATTAATCATTATTGTGGTAAATAATATTACGAAATAAATATTTTTTCTCCATAATGGTTTGTTTTTAATTTTTTATCATTCTGAATCAACGGCGCACGTTCGTAGTCATGTACTCATGTTTTATTATTATGTTTAATAACAATTGTGTATGATATTAGTGTGATAAATTATTAATTTTATTTTTTTACATCGGTTGTGTTATATAATTTCGATTACTTTGAACTTTCGTTGTGTTTCTATTAATATGGATAACGCATTGAACGAACCCGGTCCATCCCGACCCAAACGAATATGTAGAAATCGTAATTATCAACAACAAATTGAGCATATTATACTTTTTAATTCTGATAGTGATGAAAATAATGATCTGATTCTGGTAGTGAGTATGAGTGTGCAAATGTCGAAGATGATTTGTCAGATGATTTCGAGAGTGAACATGAAACTTTATGGTTTCATAGTATATATATATTTAGTATTTATACTTCACAAAGAGATAATTCTCAATCATCAACTGATATTGATAATGGTGAGACAAGCAAGAAGAAATTGAGATGTCTAATTATTTCCTTTTACTGAACATCCCAGTCTTTGTCATGAACCTTGTTTTAAGAACTTCCATCAAAAGAAGTCATAATGTCAATTTATTTAAACAATAATTACAAGTTAAAATTGAAGAATAAGTTTAATTTTTTATTTATAAAAATAAATAAAATATGTATTGTATTAAAACATGTGTTGATATTTTATTTTTGTTATAAAATTATAAAAATATAATCTAATAAGTTAATTAAAAAGCAATTATTTGATATAATATATTTGTATGACTGAGTATGAATAATATTTTGATATGATATGAATTATTATAGTAATGACGCCATTTGGCGTCAAATAGCATCTGACCAAAAAATGTGCATAAGGTGCGGATGATGCTAATTGGCATCAACAAAAAAAACCCCGATTTTCCTCCGCACATACAAAAGTACATACTGATATGATCTGCAGAGAATGTGTTAAGAAAATATTTGCTAACAAAAAAAATCCAATCAAATAAAAAAAATTAGTTTACCTATATCAATAATTAATGTGAATTAGATAAGTAAATTTTGTTATTAATAATTGTATATTAAAATGAATTACTTAAACAAAGAACAAAAAAAAAGTTGTTTGCTTATTCAATATTGGCCCAGTTTGATATTTTCAAATACTAGTAATCCTACCATAGAATAATTAAGAATTGACAGGAAAATATAAAAGTAGATTTAATATATACAATAAAAGTATATACAGTTGAACACAGGTAAAAACTAAATAATAACATATTCATTTAAAAATGTATTATCCAACACTTTATTTTGTTTTAGTGGAACTCTTAATGATTAAAACTTACACATAAAAACAATATATATAATATATAAAATTATATTGGTATAATTTAGTGACATTTCAAATATAAGTAATTTTTGTTGCTTTTACATATATTATATAAAAACGCTTTACAAATTTGAAAAAAAAGAGAAAACAAAAAAAAAAAATTATATATAAAAACATAAAACGCACCATTTTTTACAGAAAAAAAAAAAACAGTAACCAGTATACTTTGATAATACATAAATAAATATATAAGATTATTTACATTAATAACAGTTTTTGCTTAAATCAAAATAATATAAAATTTAAATGCTCGATTTATTATCTGTGTACTAAAATTAAAATAAATAATAATGTGATAGTTATTGTGAAAATTAATTCTTAAAGAATAATTACTGAAATAAAAATTCATTAAATATAATATGTATATTGTATATGTATGTCAGTGGTAATGTGACAAAATAATAATAAAAAAAAGTGAAAAAAAAATTAAATATAATAGTACTTTTTTACATTATTTCTACCTCAAAGTAGCCACATTTTTATTGCACCGTTTTTATTTCATCAAAACAATATTGTCAAGAAATTTTAAATATATATATTTATACACTTAAAAAAAAATTATACTTTTATTATCAAGATTATAAAACAATGTTGATATTTAAAAACATACCAAACTTTTAAAGCATAATAGGGTAATTGACAATCTAGAAATTACAGGGATGAGCACAAGTTTTGAATAATGAAAACATGGGGGGGGGGGATATGAGCACATTTAAGCGATAGGACAAATGAGATCAAAACAATTTTTAAAGAAAATACATTTACTGTCAAACGTGTGATTCAAGAGGTACATTCAACAGTTTTGACACAAAGTTTGGGTCGGCCATGCTCCTAGGTCTAATACCTCTTTCTTTTATTCCATCTACAACACGAGCCCAACTCAGGTCTGGTGAACTAGTTCTTCTATCTTTGCAGCTTTTCTCTAATTCTTCTCTTTCCTTATTGTCCAACCATGTGATTTTATCAAAATCCTTAGTACCACCTACTGTATGGCGCCTCTTAATGCTGCGATCAGTTGTAACACCGTTTTTACGTTTTTGGCGCGCTTCCTTATCGCGCAATGAACTACAGCGTCTAGACAATCCTTGTTTTCGCTTGTTCATGTTGCACTCGGTCTTCTCCATCTTGGTGAGGGAGTCAGATCGCCGGTGTTTGGAAGCGTCACCGTTTTTTGTCAGCATCATTGCCTCAAATTTTGTGTACTTAGAAATATATCTTTCATGTTTATTCAGTGACTCACAGCGACGTAGTTTTACATGATTCCCATAGTCTGGACGGTTTTCTTTTTGTTTTAATGATTCGGAGCGACGCAGACGCACATTTGGGTTAGCATTAATGTCTTGAAGACACTCAAAATTATCAGTTTTTGAAGAATCTTTTATCGATTCAGAAGTTGAATCTTTCATGGTTTCAATTTCCTGTAATAAATAATGATAACAATTAAAATAAAGTCATTACAATAATCCTTAACATCAACATACATGTTTTTCAGTTATATGCTGGCTGCGCCTTTCCAAAGATCTATGTAAACTCGGGTCTCTGTAAGTTTGTACATCTGTATGTTCATCATTTGATGTAGCCACTGGCTGTTTTTCTTCAACATCCACAGAGTCACTGGGTATTGAAAGAGATTTAAGTTTTTTGTCAAAGGCGGAAGTCAGGCTCACCAATAAATCCCCTCCTAGAAAATCAAACACAAAACTTTTATCATGCAACTCAAGGATAATACTTAATACATATCATGTTCAACAAACCATTCAATTAGAATGTTAGATATTCTACAACATTATGGTAACACACAGTTAAAATAAATATCAAACCCATAAGCTGTTAAATAATTAAAAAAGAGTGAACATTTTTTTAGATATACCCAAATGT